CGTTCCCATCTTCTGTTGGTGTGAGTTCAGCTACGAAATCTGCTAGGGCTTGTGCTTTGATGGCCGTCCTAGGTTGGTACTGAATGTCGAATTCCCCGAGTTCTACTGCCCATTTAAGAAGTCTGCCAGATACGTCCGGCTTTCCCAAGATTCTTTTAAGAGGTTGGTCGGTGATGACCACCATACGATGGCCCTGGAAGTAGTGTCGCAGCCGTCTCGCTGTCGTGACCAGAGCGAGTGCCAGTTTTTCTAGTGCTGAATATCTGACCTCTGCCCCCCGGTATGCCCTGCTCACGTAATAAACTGGTTTCTGCACTCCATTGTTGTTTCTAACGAGCACTGAGCTTACCGCTGATGGGGAAGCAGAAAGGTATAGATGGAGAGTTTCTCCAGGGGTAGCATGTGACAGGAGAGGAAGTGCTGCTAGGTAGGCTTTAAGCCTTTGAAAAGCCTCCTCTGCCTCAGGTTTTCACTCAAAGGCTTTTCGGAGAGTTTTGAAAAAAGGGAGACATTTGTCTGCAGATTTGGAGACAAACCTATTTAATGCTGCGATTCTTCCATTGAGGCGCTGGAGCTCCTTGGTTGAGGAGGGTGACTTCATGTCAAGAATGGCCTTGATCTTGTCAGGGTTCGCCTCAATTCCCCTCTGATTGACCATAAAGCCCAGGAATTTACCAGACCCCACACCAAAGGCGCACTTCTCAGGGTTGAGCTTCATGTGATAGGACCTCAAGACGTTGAAAGTTTTTTGGAGGTGATCAATGTGGTCTACTGCTGCAAGGCTCTTTACCAGCATGTCATCCACGTACACCTCCATTGTTTGCCCGATCTGAGACTGGAACATCTTGTTCACCAGCCGTTGGTAGGTTGCTCCAGCGTTCTTTAGCCCAAAGGGCATGACCCTGTAGCAGTATGTCCCCTTTGGCGTGATAAATGATGTCTTCTCTTGGTCTGGGAGATGCATGTTAATCTAGTTATACCCCGAGTATGCATCCAGGAAAGTGAGCAACTCATGCCCAACGGTGGCGTCGATGAGGAGGTCAATCCGGGGCAGTGGATAACTATCTTTTGGGCATACCTTGTTTAGTTCTGTGAAGTCGACACAGAGGCGCCACTTCCCATTAGCCTTAGTAACCATTACTACGTTGGAGAGCCACTCCGGATACGCCACTTCCCTGACTGCCCCGTTATCAATCATCTTTCTAACCTCTTTGTCCATGGCTTGGATCCTTTCAGTGGAGGCTCCCCTTAACTTTTGGCGAACAGGCTTGTACAGTGGATCAACATTGAGACGGTGGGTAACTACTTCCGGGTTGATGCCCTCAAGGTCCTCATGCGACCAAGCAAAGATGTCTATATTACGCTTCAAAAAATCAATCAACAGGGGAGCCAGCTCTTCAGAAAGGGAAGAACCAATGTAAATTCTTCTGTCTGGGTGCTCCTTTTCTAAAACCACAGGGATGAGTTCCTCGACTGGTTCTCCTCTTTCTGTTGCGGAGTCATCCCTTGGGTCAAGGACCTCAACCTGCAATGCTTCTTGGGGCTTCCTAGCCTTCATAGAGGATACATAGCACTCTCTGGCTGTTATTTGGTCCCCTTTGACCTCTCCGACTCCATTTAAGGTTGGAAAGCGGAGAACGAGATGGTAGGTAGAGGGCACAACTCTTAATGTGTTAAGAGTTGGCCGCCCTAATATAATGTTGTAGGCTGACGGGCACTCTATTACCAGGAAATTAACTATGACTGTGGAGCTTCGAGGTGTTACTCCGGCGGTGACGAGAAGTGTGATGGATCCAAGGGGATACACTTTTTCCCCTGAGAATCCAATGAGGGGTGACCTGATTGGCTGTAACCTCTCCCTGCCTAGGTTGAGCTTGTCATAGGCCTCTGCAAACAGGATATCCGCAGAGTTGCCACTATCCACCAGGATCCTGTGCACATGAAAATTGACCACCGTCATGGTGAGCACCAAGGGGTCGTCATGGGTGCTGGATTTCCCCTAGGTCTTTGTCTGAAAAAAATATGATCTCGTCGTCTTTCTGCTTCGGCACCTTAGATGGGTGCATCTTATAGACATGTCTTGTCTTCCTGTCATGGGCCTTCATCGCGAAAAGTGATTCTCCCCCACCTGCTAGTCCCCCTGAGATAGTGTGGATTTCCCCCACAGGCTGCTGATCTTCCTGGTTGTGAGGTTGTGGTACTCGTTCCCTTCCAGCAACGTACTGACGTAAGTGACCACGCTGGATGAGCTCCTCAATTTGCCTCTTGAGGTCGTAGCAATCGTCGGTGCCATGCCCGTAGTCACAATGGAAGCGGCAATACTTGTTAGGATTTATGCGATTTGGAGGAGACTTCATTTTTCCAGGCCACTTTATCGCGGGGTCATCCTGGATCTGGAATAGGATGTGTTCCACGGAAGCATTGAGGGGAGTGAAAGGTTGACGGTTCCTCTGAGGAGCAGGACCTAGCCGGTCCTTGACAGGAACTTTCTCTGTCCTGCCATATTTGTTGCTGGTTTCCTTCTTATCGTCCTTCTCTCTTTCCTTCCTTTTCTCCCCTGCTCTGGAAGACTCACCCCGCCTGGCCCTTGTGATGTCTTCTGCGTTTATGTATTTTTGGGCCTTGGCTAGCAGCTCTGGCATGCTCTTCGGTGGGCGCTTCAGAACTGAGAAAAGGAAACTTGATGAACGGAGGCCACCCAAGAAGGCGGTCATCGTCACCTTGTCGTCGGGTTCATCAACTTGGAGTACCTCCTCGTTAAAACGAGTGAGGTAACTCCTCAGGCTCTCCTCGCGGTCCTGCTTTATACTAAGCAGGTGCGTAACTGGCTTCTGGTGGCGACGCCCTCCAATGAAGTGTGAGACGAATGATCTGCTAAGCTCGGCGAAAGAGGTAATAGAGGCGGGGGAGAGCTTAGCAAACCACTGTCGGGCAGACCCCTTTAATGTGGTTGGGAATGCCCTGCACATGATTTCGTCTGGTACGTTGTGCAATTGCATCAAGGTCTTGTAAGTGTCGAGGTGGTCCAGTGGATCCTTTGTTCCATCAAAGGTCTCCACAGATGGCATTTTGAACTTCTGAGGGAGGGGGTAGTTTGCTACATCAGGTTTGAAAGGCGTATCAGTACGCCTTACCAGGTGGTCAACAGTCTCGGGTCCTTGTGCCTTCATGGCGTTGAAGACATCACCCAGTTGATTCTGTACCTCCTTTATCTTCTCGTCCCAATGATTGGGGGCTCCTCTGGAATGATCATGGAAGTGGCTTCCATGCTCCATGCTTTGGTTTTCACCCTCATCCTCCTGGAGATAAGGGTCCTCTCCCTGGGAAGCAAGGGGAGGGGGAGGTGGAGCTCCCTCATGTTGGGCTTCCCGAAGTGGGGTGCCCAATGGGGCGCCCGGGCGTGGAGCAACAGGGCGTGGTGCTCCTTGATGTCCAGGACGTGGAGCTCCTTGGGGTGCTCTATGTTGTGCACCTCCGTGGGGCCCTCCATGTTGTGCACCTCCGTGTGGTGCTCCACCTTGGGGTCCTCCATGTTGTGCACCTCCGTGTGGTGCTCCTCCTTGTCCAGCAAGTATGAGTTGCAGTAACTGTTGGTTTTGAGCAACCAGTTGTTGCATGGTCTCCAATATTTGCTGGGGATTCGGAGCTAGAGTATCCGAAACAGGGTTGGTAGGCGGGGGAGCAACCTCCTCCTCTCGTGGAGGATTGTCTTCATGTTGGTTCATGGATCGAGTAGTGATCACCATTAGTTAATGGATGTAATGTTCAGGGGTGAGAATTTTGTTGAATTCCCACAGACGGCGCCAAACTGATGATGCACAAAAATGGTTTTGCACACCACCTGTCAAGTGTAGGTAATAAATGCAGTGAAATCAATGAGAAAATTAAAGAATATACGATTTATAGTGGTTCGGTCAATTCGACCTACGTCCACTCTTCAATGGCTTCAGTTGCCAGATATTTTATTAATTCAAAGGTATGGAGAATAGAGATACAAGCTTTGAGAGAATGGAAAATCAAAGAAGCAGTGGTCTCCGGTCGTCGGTCTGTCCCCTGTAAGTGCTGGTGGGGCGTGCCATTTATATTGGTCTCCTAACAGATTGAAGCTACTTTATAGCAGCTAAGAGATCATTCTTGTGGAGATCATAACTTATCATCAAGGCTACTTTATCGCAGCTAAGAGATCATTCTGGTGGAGATCATGACTTATCTTCAAGGCTACTTTATAGCACTAAAAGATCATTCTGGTGGAGATCACGACCTATCCTCAATGGAAGGAGGAGGTTGGGGAGCTCTTCATGAAACGCGGGCAAAGATTGGACCGTTTCCTTCGGTGGTGCAGATAAGCTTCTCATGCTCTCCTCTTGATGAAGTGCTAAGTAAAAAGTCTAACCGGTCTTGGACTGTCTTGGGTTTGTGGATTCAAAATGAGGTTGAACTCCTCAACTGGGGTTGGACTTTAACACATAAATTGGACTATTTGGGCTTAACCCATCAGATGGTTTCACCAAGATGTTATGACTAGATAGCTAAAATCCTAAAACTAATAATACCTGAGCATTGAGAGCTCTTTTCAACTGGTTTTGAAACTGTCAAATATAATAATAATAAAAAAAAAGTAATATTGGATGGACTTAAAAACTATATTTAATAATCTCAACCATTGAATAGATAGTAGGTCCCAATAAATGCTGAAACCCATAGTGAAATTAATTGTTATAATTATAGAGTTTAATTTTTAAATCCATGTAACATTACTCAAAAAAAAAAAATAGGACCAAACTTTGTGAACATCAAACCCCAGCCGGCCACTCAATCTGTGAATTGGCTTATTAGGGAAACAAAGCTTAACAACCAAACATTATAAATTGATAACAAAACTAAGCCAATTTATCATCCTAAACAACCACTAAACTTCCATCTAGTCTCATCTTTTATCGATCCACAACTTTGTAAAACATGTTCTTTTTTTCCTTGTAACTATCTCTGCCACTGCTTGGATGGTCCAAGCAAGTGATCCAGACATCTTATCCGACTTCATCCCTCCATCATCAAACCCGAATGGAGTTGATGGGAATTTCTTCACCTTCACTGGACTGCGTGGAATATTTAATCAAGCTCCAACAACCTTTAAGGATACAAAAGTTAGCAACGCGGAATTCCCAGCTCTAAATGGCCAGAGCGTCTCCCTGGCCATTCTCCAGTTCCCTGCAGGTGGCGTTAACCCGCCTCTTACCCACCCTCGTGCAACTGGGCTACTGTTTGTTGTCGGAGGTAGTCTTGAGGTTGGATTTGTTGACACTGACTAATAAACTATACACTCAAACACTTCAAACGGGGGACATGTTTGTGTTCCCTAAGGGGCTAGTTCACTATCAATACAATGCCAATGCCAATGCCAATGAACCGGCTACTGCTATCGCTGCCTTTGGCAGTGCAAATCCTGGGACTGCGTTGCTTCCTATAACTTTGTTTGCCAGTGGCGTCGATGATGAGATTCTTGCTAAGTCTTTTAAAACCGATGTTGCCACCATTCAGAAGCTCAAGGCAGGTCTTGCACCACCCAAAGCCTAAGTTCAAGCTTCCTTTTGATCTTCATGATTAAGCTCTTCCTACGACTTTTTTTTCCACATCGTTTCAATTTAGGATGAACCATGTCATTCAGTTAATTAATCTGATTTTTATTCACAATAATAACGAAGGAAGATGTGTAATTTTGATAATGATTTGTTGTTTTCATGGTATTTATTTACTCAACTGCTGTTTCCTTGACTTCAAGGTTTCAATCAGTTTTCATAACTGCTACATTTTGAATTCCAAGACAAATCACTCGCTCCCTCAAATTAAATTGTAGTTTTTATGTAACAGCTCTTTTTTAAATTTTAAAAATCATGTCGACTGGTATGTTTTTTCATGCCTTTATGAAATAACTGTCATATGACATACTACTTACGATGGTTCACTCTGTGGACAAATGTCATTCATTATCGTAAAATCCCCACTCTAGTTCGCCACATAGTACTGGCCAGTGAGTTTGATGAATATTACGAGCCCTAGACCTAAAAGTGCGACTTTCGTTGTCTTGGCCATTTTGAGTTTCTGTGTGTATTAAATGGACATGAAACAAAATACGAAGAGCTTTTCTATTTATAGAGGAAGGAGTGAGGACGGAATATCACGAACTAGCAACTACGTTGAATGCCGGGAAAGTGCACTCTTGTGAGTGTATGACTAATTGTGGTACTCTATGGACGTGTAGATCACATTGGAGCAACCTAACATATGCAATTGTTGTCGATTAATTTTTTAATTATAAAAATAAAGTAACAATAGTAAGAGAGTCAAAGTGCACAATAAAAGGAGTTTTACCCGTTTAAAAACTCCTCCAATTGCAGAAATTACAGTTGGAAGCAAAGTAATGGAACGTAAAAATTTGTTAAAATAATATTATTTTTGTTATTTTTTTAAACAAGTTAAATGAGTCGTGTCGTGTTACCCATTTATTAAACGGTTCGTATTCGTATTCAAATTTTTTACCCGTTTATTAAAAGTGTCGTGTATGAGTTTATATGTTTTTCACCCGTCACCTGTTTAACCCGACACAATTAACACTCCTAATCTCTACATCAACCAAGGTAAAAACAAAAAACCACACAATCTGACTAAATATTAGCTGAACGCTACTATAGTAGATAGTTTAATATCCTCCTTGAAGAATTGTTTATTCAAATCACTTGGACGGTCATTCTTTCGAGGCTCTTCGAAATTGGTCTTTCTTATTCATCATTGAACTCACTGCTCACACATAGTAACGCATGAACGAAGTATCCATGTTTGCAGCTTTCTATATATCTTCCTTCATCAGTTCAATTCGAAAACGTCATCTCCTCGCACTTTCTTCTTGCCGTTATTGCTCTCGACAGTGTTCATGAACAAACTAAGCAACTGCTTGATCTAAGTGTTGCTGTTCTCGGTGGTTGCTGTGGAGCCGATATTAGTGATGACAGGGTTCGTCTTGAGGGCTTTCTGGTGGGGGAGAAGAGAGAGAACAAAGGGAGAGTGTGGGGAAGTGAGATGATATTTCGAAAAAAGAATGAAACTAACTAGGTCACTAAAGGGTACGTTGGTCATTAAAAACAAGATTAAAGATGTCCTTAAAACCTTAAAAATACTTTGCTTAGATTTAATGACTTAAAAGTCTACCTCATTGGACTTTTGGCTAATTTTCACTAAATTAAATAAATGTAATGTGACAAATTCATGCTGATGTGTTCAATGGACAAGAGTTATTCATTGACTTTTTTGAGAGAAATGTAGAATTTAGTCCAAACAATATTACAAAAATACTTTTAAAAGAAGGGGTCATCGAGAGATTGTAGAAAATCCCTACACAATTCCAATAGTAAAAATCACTTTGCTTAAAAGAATATATAGGGTTTGTTTGGTTATCGTATTAGAAATAGTTGGATTAAATAAAATAATTCAGTCTAATACAATACAGATAGACCAAAAAAAAGATTAAATAGAGTACTAGAATAATATGTAATTTTATCTATTATTTGACAATACAGAACATAAACATTATATAGTAGTTTTTTAATCCAATCAGTTGTTTTGTTAGAAAATTATTTCATTAATGTTGAATTAGCAACCATCGATAACCTTTCAAACCAACCTAGGAAGGCAATCAAGACAGACATAGACAATATAATGAAGAGAGAAAAAAAATGAAAGGAAATCACTACATCCTTAAATCTAACAACCATTGATAAAAAGTACAATAATAATGGTTGAAGATCAAGTAGTGGCATATAGAAGTTCAAATAATGGATGAACAATGGGATAGGATAATTGAATCAGTAGGTCTCATTAGAAAAAGTTAATAAGTTTTACTGATCCAATCATTCACAATAATTTTAAAACAACAATGCTGCTTTTGCAAAGCTTAAGGTTCATATAGTGAATTGCACACCAAAAGAGAAAAAAAATGAAAATGAAAATAGAGAATAAAAACAATAGAGAGAGAGGCAAATGAATTGGTTAATAATGCATATCCACCGGTATACTTAAAGGCGAAGCAGAGACTAATTGGTTGTCATTGCTTATCGAGTAGGACTCAAAGACCAAAATCAAGACTAAAACACAAGTCTGTAAGAGATGCTCTGATTAAGAGTATTTCCCACAGAATTGTAGGCAAAGTATACATTGGTAGACAAAAACAGACAAAAAGATTGTTCAAATCCATAACAACAACAAAATCCAGATTAGCACCAGTTCAGCACCTGTGTACGTGCCAGTTGGAGTGAGAGACCAGGCAAAGATATCCCAAAAAAGCAGCAGACAAGAACCCCAGCTGCAGCATAAGAGACTAGCTGAAAAGGCTCCAACTAAATCACACCAACGTAGCCCAGCCAATCCAATCAACAATCCAGCATAAAAACCCAGCTGCAACAACACACTGGCCCAGTAGCTGAAACGACAACTGAAACAGCAGAGAATAAGAACAAGTTGCATCGGGGAACAAAATAGCAGAGAAATAAGAGCAGGGACATCCCCTCTAACAAAACACCAGATACAAGGAACCAAGTATAAGAAAAGCCAGCCACCCTCCATAAAGGCAACACTTGCACAGGGCAAAAACCAACAGAACACCACCATGAAAAGCAAGAGGGACCAAATAGAAGTAAGGAAGAGCAATCAACGAAAGCCAAAGATCATCAAGAAATGTAAAGAAGATAGGCCAGGGAAAGTAATCCCAGGTCTTCCCATGAAATTGCTACTTCTGATACAGTAGCTCTGCCTTGAAGGTCCACCACAGGAACCAGAGAACACCCAGCAAAAAGCAGATCCATAATCCACAATTCTGTCCCAATAAAATGCCACAGAGAAATTTACTTTCCTGAATCATTTTGTAAACATTGAACGTATGAATCCACATTGAATATAAGGATTAACAACCATATTCAAGTCTTCAAATACAAAAAAAAAAACACCATTTCTGGCCAGTATCCCTCATCACCACCCATAACAAATCAGCCATGATCAAGAATTGGCATGGGCAACACAACCCTCCTTTCCTAGGCAAGACAATTGCAAGCCAATATGCAAGTAAAGCAGCACTAAGGATCAGCACATGGAATGACCAGCAACCACAAACCAGCAAGCAACGTGTGAACCATAAGCAACCATATGTAAAAGTAACATCAGCACCAACCAACAAAAAGGATAGAAAAAGCAATCCATAACAAAGAATATCCAGCAAAGACCACCAAGAAAAGAATGCATCAAAGTATCTTAGTTAACTAAACAGTCATGAATCCCCATGAAACCCCAATATATGTCAGTGCATCTGTAACAATATAGCCACCAAAAACAGCAAAGTAGGATTCAAATGGAAGAAGTCAATGACCACTTCCAGACAAATACCACCCAACAAAAAGAGGGGAGACCTTTGAAACAAGGGATTAGGTGAGACAACTAAGTGGTAGTCTCCAATTCTGAACAGTTTGGAGATTGCTATAAGAGATCTTGTATTTGAGAAAAGCCAATCTACTCCACACAGTTTGTAGGATAAGATGGGTAACAGAAATTGAGTCCTTGAACTGGTTTCTAAATCTTCTATTATTCCTATCCATCCACAAGTGGTAAACAGTGACAGCCAAGCAGATTCTGCAAATCAGTTTCTTCATCAGCTTACCTTTCCAATTAAAAGCAGCCCAACCAACAAATTCATTCCAAAGCTTAGTCTGCCATAACTCCTCAGTGAATTAGAGAGTAGCAGACCAAACACTAGAGGAGTAAGAGCAAGCAAAAAATAGATGAGGTTGTGTTTAAGGAGAAGTCCTGCACAAAATACATTCAACTCCCAAGTGAGCAACGTAAGATTGCATACGATCAAGGGTGCTAAGCCTGTTTCTAACAGCTAATCATAGGATGAAACACATTTTAGGGATAGATTTCTCATACCAGACCAGCTTATACCAGCTAACAGGAGGTTCCCTTTGTCTGATTTGATCCCAAGCAGATTTGGTGTTGAATCCCATTCTGCCATTAGGAATCCACTTGACAGAGTCCTCAATAGCAGGGTTGGGAAAATAGGAAGGCATGGAGTTGACCACATCATGGAAGATATTGGAATATAGTGGCCATTGCCACTGGCTGTTGTTAATAATACTGTTGACAAACTCCTCCAAATTGAGATGAAGTTCCTCAATTCCATTCATACCAACACATAAATCCAAAGGTCTCATAGGATGCCAATTATCATACCATAGATTTGTAGTTTGTCCATTCCCAATCACATGTTTGATGAGTGGCCTGGTTAAGGACCTTAACTTAAGCAGACACAGCCAATTCCAAGAGCAAGACTGGGAAGCTTTAAGTCTCCAGAAACTTCTGCACCTTAAGTGATAAATATGAATCCATTTCACCCACAGATTTTGCTTATCAGTAAAAAGCAACCAAATATACCGCATCATCATAGCAGTGTTACATTCTTTAATCCTTTTAATTCCCAACCCACCCTCCTTAGGCTTACAAACCTCTTCCCATGGTACTTTGGCACCAGTGCTTCT